CTTATGTCAAAGTATTGCAAGCATATATTAGGATGTATTATGTATTGTAAATCGGTGTTAGTATGTCTACTTAAATAATTAAATTAAGATTAGTATGTATTAAGTTGGCAAAAATGAGACACCATAAGCCACTACTTACTGCACTTGTAAGAGGATAATTATTTTTATTTTGTTTTCTGTATTAATTATAAAGTATAAAATAATCTCAAATGTCTTATTCTTATTTTGCTTTTGATGTAAATAAATACAAACAAGCAAACAAGTTCTTGTTACCAAATTATTATTAATCTCATCTTATACAATTCTTACTTATGTGAGAATGCAGACAGGGACCATTAAGTTAAGCCCTTAATTAATTAATTAAAGTAATATTACAATCCAATTCTAGGGAGAGCAAAAGGTCAAAATTAACCAACTGGGAAAAGCCACACACATCCTATTTTTCCCGATTTCTTGATAGATAAGACCGATTGAATATCTCTCCAATTTAACAATTATTACTAAGGTTGTAACACACACACTGACCTTAGTCACTACCAGCAATTAATTTAATATGTTTGACAAATGTTATTGGTTTTATGAGGTAAAAGGAGTAACCATGCTGAATAGAGAGGGGTAATAAATTTGTTGAAACATTCAATTTTTGACAACAAACACAACCTAGATGCAAACTGATCTTAGAAGAGATTGCATCAGAACTTTTCCCAATAGTTTCCCCTCTGGGACGAGTATAAAAAGGGGTCGCACCTGCATCTCGATGCAATCATCCACGAGTCCTCAGCGATCGTCTCCCAGATGGAACTATATTTGAACCTCACCTTCCCTGACAACCTCCACAGTCCATGATTGTCACGATGATGTTGTATAAAGGATATGAGGATTTATCAGAGGTATTTTGGTTTAAATGTAAACAGTTTCTCTCTCCCGTCTCTCTATAGGTTAAGTAGAGTATAATGTATATCAGCCATTTTCTATAAGTTTGTCATGAATAGATCTTCGTAACTTACAATGCAATATTGCCATATTTAGTTATAACTTTATATACTAGTTTTAAGTTAGATAATTAAATTTGTTGTTTTGTTAAAACCTGTCTATTATTTCGGAGAACGGACACCTATCGATTTATTCACCTCCCTCCCATTCAAGTGTTTAATGAGCCCTCCTACTCGAAATAGTGTTACGAAACACGAGTTAGGATGCGTGTAATTATCCTCACTGGTATCAGTTCCTGACTGGAAACAGTCATCGAACAATTTGCATGTTTCCATTAAATTATAAGCCATCCCCTGACAAGAAGGCAGTAAGAAGAGTCAAATTCATGGCTCTACACCCTCTTGATTCTCACACTTATGTATCAGAATTTATCATCATTTTAATATACAAAGTATTATATTTATAAATAATTTCTCATAGCAGATTATTTTCTTTGTCAATTATGATAAAATTCTATCTAAAAACTATGATAATCTTTCAAATTCAATAAAATAGATAGTCACAGTTTACACGTGTTTTTCAATTTTGCACATTCTATGGACACAATTTTATGCTACTTAGATTTAACAAAATACTCTGGCCATCCAAAATATACAGTATTATGAGTTATTACTTGCTCAATCATCACTTAAAATATCAATTATATCAACCAGATATCAATGAACACGGTCAATTAAAAGAAATTATCTCTTAAAATATGAAGAAAATAGAGTTGACTGTCAAGATTGTACCTAAAATGCAATACATCTCAAGCCTATGATTTCTAAATGTGACATTAAATCTAAAAGAAAAAATGAGAAATCTTATATATTATTAAAATTGATAATTTTATAAAAATCATTACAAAAGAAGCAAACTAAAAACCAATTTTAAATCTCTAAACAAATGACAAAAACTGGTAATTATGTATTTTAAAATGCATATAAATTCAAAAGAATATGACACAGTGTAAATGTAACCATCATTGAATAACTGCAGGAAAAACACCTACTATAAATTATATTTCACAAGAAGCTAATATATTTGCATTTCAAATACTCGAAAGTAAGAAATTCAAACAAATCTACTGTATTAGATATTTTTTGAAGAAAAATTTGAGATAAAAATTACAAAAATTCAAATTAAATAAATAACCAGTCCATGCTGTACTAAAATATATCTTATCACTCATGATATGCTCTTAAATCAACTGAACAAAACACAAGATTTATTCTGCACAAATTCAATTTGTATGTCTAGAATGACCTAAGTTATTTAAAAGATTTATAGTGAAGTAGAAAAATGAGGGAATTGCTATTTCAATTACTACTATTTTTATTGAAAATATAAAAATTGAGAACAATTTATAAACATCTGCAATCAAAGACACAATCAATACTATGTATGTAAGGAATTTTAGAACTGATTACAGTAGACCCCCTATAAAACAGGTTCATATGATATGGATTTGTGTATGATGGCGAAAAAATTGCGATCATATTTGTATAAACACGCTAAAAGAGCTAATATGATAAGGTAAAACGTTATATCTGACTCGTGTCACAATAGGATCGGTCGAATCTAGACCAATAGCGAATATTGAACAAATCGTTGAGTTTAAACGAGCAGCGGAACTACTAAAAACCATTTATTATTTAACGGCCATAAAAATTATATTTATATTAATGACATCTCCGAAGTTCAGTAAATTTTTCACAGAAAAATAATTTATCAGGAAACATGCGCCCACCATTCGATGCGCCGCTCCACGACAAAAACAAGCTTAAGCAATGGCATCGTTGAATCGTTGAATGGTGCACACTAGGTAAGTAATCCTACAATTTTTTGTTTATAGCATAGTTTATATGGATTATTCCCAAAAAATTATACGTGTTTTGGAAATGTTGAGTCAAATGAGTCTAGAATCAATCAATTTTATGGAAGAAACCTTTCAAACAGCCGTAGTCCATAAACTGCATATGTGCCAGGCTATGATTGGCTCATGTATTTAAGGACTCATAGAACATGAATTTCATAAAACACGGAACGTATCTACCGTGTTATAGGGGGTATACTGTACTTCAATTGAAATTTATTTTACTTAAATTTTAAATCAAATTTTATAACAACACTTAATTGTTTCATTTATTTTCAAATATTGACATTAAATATCCCTCAGTGACAAAAAAGTTATGCACAGAGAAAGAAATGTTGGAATAAAATAAAGCTTTATCAGTGTAATAACAATGAAAATAAGTACACCCCAGTACCCAATTGATTCGTTTATCCGAATCAATTGGGAACTGGGGTGGTTCAGATAACTTATTTTTCGGATAACGAATCATGTACGAAAAAATATATTAATTTATCCCATGTTGAAATTTTTCTCCATCACGTGTCACTTTGCGTTGAATTTTCGTCGATGTTAAGCCTAATGAAGACTATTGTATCGTTAAAAATTATTTAACGATATTAGTTAATATCGACTATTGTATCGTTAGAAATAATTTAATATATTGAAAAACAAATATATTGAAAAATATAAAAACAATAAAAAATTATACTTCAGAAGTTAATTTAGTATCAAAAATGTCAAATATTTGAGTAGCCCAAGACATAGCCAAAGATTGCAGTGCCACAGCACTGGCAAAAATTTAAACTTGCCAACTGGAATGCTTTCGGATAACCAGCTTTCGGATAAACGACGCTCTACTGTAATTACAATGTCACAGTAAAGGCACAATTCCTGTGAAGCAACAATATAATTTAAAAAAACCTTTTGTACCTTGTAGGACCACCTCTTGCCTGTATCTATGCAGCAATATGGTCAAGCATGAAGGCACCCAATGCTATTGTGTGACAGATTTACCCACAAATGTTGTAATTGTTATTTTATATATCTCAAACTTGTAATGCCCCATCTAGTCCCATGAATGCTTGATAGGTGACAAATTCAGAAACAGGCCAGGCCAATTAAGTGTGACAATGTGAGAGATGTTTGCGGAAAACCCAAATGTGTGGAGCCAAGTATTATCTTGTAAGGAAAATGGCTATTTGCAACCATGTCATGGAAAACAACAAGGGTGCAGGATTTCACTACATTCTGCTGTGCCATCAATGTCCTTCACACCACTATTAGGGCTATTGTATGAGATGGATTCCCAGACTAGCATGCGCAGTAAGGGGAAAGTAAGGGCAGAATTGAAGAGCTCATTAGTAATCCTCCAAGCATTAACATGATGGTCATCCATTCCCAAACTGACCAGAATTCATTGCCAGAAATAATATGCTGCCAATTTTTAGCAGTCCTTGCTTCTTTGTCATGATACCACTGCAAACAAAGCTGGCAATTCTGGGGTGTTAACAATAAGGGACACAGAAATTGCCATGCATACAAATTTGCCTCTGTTAATCTGTTAATTGCCTGTCAACAGTAAAGGACAGAGTTCTGTAACAAGGCTTTCATCTACTTCGGATAGTAGACAAAGGTGCCTTTCAATTGTTTGCATTTATTTCATGATCAGAGATCATCTCTCCTGGTGGCTTCTCTGAAGCATCTAGAGCCTGCCTGCCATGCATATGTGCCTTGACATATTCACTATCCCCAACACCTAACAGTCAGGTCGGAATGACTCAGATGACAAGCAGTTTGGCAAAACAACTGTCCCACTTCCCTCAAGCCTGATGATGAAGTCTTTCTCAAACTCTGCCAGCTGTGCATAATGTCCTGACTGCATTGTACAGGCATGTTTGACATTCAAAGAGCTACAAACAACAGATACACTAAGAATTCTGAAAACAGCAAGCCTTTATGAGTTTTTTAGGATAGTAGGGTAGCAATTTTAAGGCACTCTAGTGACATTATCCAGCATGCAATCAGACACAACCGTAATCATTTACTTGTGTGTCCAGAAAACCGATTGAACAATTCTACCTGTGTGTGTAACTTTTTAGTCAATGAGTGTAAATACATTACAAAAAATAAAAAAAATCTGAAGATTAGTTTGTTTAAAAAATATTTTATTTACCTATTTTAAAATGCACAGCTCCTTGTAAGTCTCCTACATTGATCCAGCCATTCTTTCTTTCCACTTGCTGTAATAATGTAAGTATAATATATTATGAAAATAATATAATTTAACATATAATAAAAATAACACATTTATTATACAGTAATTTTATATTTTAAATATTTTTAGTTTTATTTTAAAGTATTTCAATTCCATTTTATAAAAATATTTTTTATTAAATAAAAAATATAATGATTTTATTATAAAAAATATAATAATTTNTAAAAAATATAATAATTTTGAGCTTATTTAATAAGCTCAAAATGGAAATTACATTAAATCTGAATGGTAAACATTTCTTTCTAATAGTATTTTTTAAAAAGAAAGCTCCACTTTAAATTTATTTATCCTTTAAAAATCACTTTTCTTAAAGATTGTTTCCATTTAATAAGTAAAAGCAAAAGGAATAAATCTCAGTTTATGTATTAAATGTGACAAATTACTTAACGAATTAAAAGTTTAATTTTTCTATTGTATAAAAAAATAAACTTACTCCATCTGTTCGAAGAATCTTGCCTTTCAACCAAGACAAATAATAAACACGCACTCGAGATTTTTTACCAGATATGGTAATTAAAATATTCTGTCCTTCCAGCACTTCCATTTGTTGAAACCTCCTTCGTGATATTAGCTGATAAACTTTCCCCTGTCCACTTCGATCGAGCAACATCAAGCCATTTTCTGTTCCAATCAACAGATTCACACCTAAAACATAAAAAAAAAAAAAATCACAATTTTTAAAAAGTTCTTGTTGTATTATAAATAATGAAACTGTAAGGTTTAAACAGAATTTTGAACTGAATATTAATTGTATAATAATAAGTAATTTTTTACTAAAATAAAACAAAAAGTATGAAATAAAGTATAAATATTAAAGCACACTATAAAGACTAATACAAAATCATAAGATGAAATAGACTAAAACAGAAATTCGTGTATTCTTCCATACGTGAATTTCTGTTATAGTCTATGGCAGGGGTGGTCAACCTGCGGCTCGCGAGCCACATGCGGCTCTTTAAACGATTATTTGTGGCTCTCGATAAATGTACCCAAGTTCCCTTTTCATTTTTGTGTTGTTATTTTAAAAAATTATTATCGTTCCGTATGTGTTTCAAAATGTCTTTTAAATTACTAACAACAAATATGAAAGACTAAGTGCAACGTTGTAACAAATTTCATTTCCGTCCAAGTTAAGAATGATATGACTCATCGAAAACTGCGTGAACGAACATAAACAGTGGCGTAATTGTCCATTATCGACCGACTCCAGACCGATTTTGAATTTGTAAACTGTCATTGCAACGGACAGTTGACATTGTGCTCTGGAGGAAACAATTTGTATCACTCTTGCTACGGATATAATTTGTGTAATCTGGAATTTTTTGCATACCTTTTTAATACGTATTTAATTGCGGCTCGCGAAAAATTTCAAATTTTGAAAAATGGCTCGGAGTATCAAGGAGCTTGGCCACCCTGGGTCTATGGGAAGAAACTCTCTTCACATCCACCCATCTCACACCATGGGAATATCAAGTGGTAGACTTGACTTTTATTTTGAGGCTCTTCCCCAACTCTTTATGACAAAATTATTTAAAAAGTCCCTCTAAATTTATTGTTTGAGTTTATTTTTAATAACTGTGATTTTTTTTTTATTTTTAGAATACAGGAGATTTAGCATATAGCATTAGCTTATAGGTGGAGAAGGACCTCAAAATAAAGGTTAACTTCATCGTGTAACTTTGTTATCCATATCTATGTAAAGAGTATTTATGAAGGACTCATTTTTTTCTATGTGCAATTTTTAAATAAATTTATCATTTTGGTTTATTTTTAATAATTTAAATATGGCAGAAATTTGTTAATTTGGCACCTAAAATGTAACCAATAATCCAGAATTTGTGCCATAATAACCCAATATGCCATACATTAGAATTTGTTCGAACACACATTAAAGACCTTGAGCAATAACGTGTCCATTAAGGTTTTTACAGATTTTTCCATCAATCTTAACACGGCATAGTAATGCAAATGCACCTTATCATTTTTAAACTGATCAAAGAGCCATCATGAACAAATTGGAAGCATAAAGCAATGTGCACTGGTAAAAATGTACAGCAATGTTTGCAATATTCAAATCAAATATAACTTGTCAAATTTTCAGAAAATCCAATAAGTCTAGTAATCCAGCAGTTTTGATAATCTGGCACCACTCTGGTCTCACATGTGCCAGAATAATAAACTACTTCATTTCTTCATTTTTAAATTATATAGAAGATAATGTTTCACAAAGAATTAATTAAAGGACTTGACTATTTCTTTCATTTAATATTTTTATTTATATTCATAATTCATGACATTCCATATTAAAATCTTAATTAGATTTCCTGAAAGTTTATTTCATTCTTTCTATAATCTTCTATTATGAATTTAATTACAGCTAATTTCTACCAATTCAATAATTCAAGAAATCAAGCTTTACTATCATTAACAAATTTGGCATTCCATTGCATCTGATAACAAATATATTCTGTGAATAATATACAGGGTAATCCATTTGAGATGTTGTAAAATTAAATGTGTAGAAAATAATGAAATTTGAGGTTATTGAGTGTTGTGTGTGTGTTGAAAGATTGCCAGTTTCTGTTTAAAAGAAGTCAACACTCAAGAATGTAATGGTGGATGGTGCACAGTTTGTACAGGACAGATGCATAATCATATTGCTGTGATGCTTGAGGTTGTTGCACATGGTATGGAAACATATTCAATCAAGCACAATCTTCTGGCATATGCTATACAGAATGCCATGTTCCAATGTCAAATGGTGCAATAACTTCTTTGGACGACTCTGAATTATGGCCCAACAAACATTCACTCTTCTACTGACGCGAGGAAAAGTCAGGCTGATTCATGAAACTTCTGGTAACATTACACAATGTCCCAATGTGACGAATGGAAAATTATAAACTTGTTGGAACTCCCTCTGAACAAGAGTAGCACTCTCATTTTACATACCATACTAAGCACTAGGCCCTCTGTGGTGACTGCCATTTTGCATTCCAGTGCACATGTGCCACAACATGGCAGAGTCCAAAACAAGCATGCACCATCCCAAAACTGACAATCTTCTGATACTTTATGATGTATATTTGCATTACTTTATTTTCTAGACATTTTTAATTTACGATAAACTAAATGGAACACCCTGCACTTTCCTGTGAAGAATATCTCATATAAATTTTGTCAAGAATGTATCGGTAAGTTTTTAAAATTTACAAACATGTTCTTGTCATCTAGCACAAACACACACAAATACTATGCACATTGTGCTACATAAAACAGTTCTGAATAATTAAGGATTTTTTAATACATTCATATATTATTATTTTATGATTTTGTATTTTACTTATGCATCAGGATAAAATTTTTATATTTTTTTTATTAAAGTAACACAGCAGAAATGCTTTTGATTGTAAAAATACAGAAAATGTCAAGCTAGCTTCACACATTTTCTGAATAATTGCCTATTCATCATTTTGATTCAGCACAATATACTGACAAAAACTGGAAAATGGTAAATGCCAAATATTAAGCACAAGTGAATCATCCACACTTCTCAGTATTGGCCAAATGTTTGTTGGGTATTAAGTGAATATGAAATATGCGAAGGCAGTTTTGTATGCTTTCAATTGCGTCAATGGTAAAAGCTAAATTTTTAAAAGGATAAATAACAAAGCTGTGTAAAAGACAGCTTTAGACAAGAACATGATAAAGTAGATGCTTGAACGTGGAAAAAATAAGCAAATTCACAAAGCTTGAAATGCAAGACCAAATGAAAAAAAAATGATTAAAGTATAAATTGAAAAGGAAGTGAAGTTTTATTTATATGATTCACATAATAGCACATGAAAAAGATAAAAAAAAAAAGCAAATTCTTTACTTCATTTTCAAAAATTAGATTATGTTAATGAAGAAAAACAAGACCACTAAAAGTATGGACTGGTTTGACAATTAGAGAAACAATATATAGAATATTTTCAGTGTAAAGAAATACATCACATAACTGAAACTTAAACAGATAACAAAGAGTTATCTTAATAAAAAATGAAAATTTTATTATCTGAAAGAAGTAATTTTAAAAAATATAAAATCAACAAGTAAACTTTAATTACTATGTATATAAATTATAAGAATTTAATTAAAAATAAACTGCAACCTGAAGAACAATTTTCTTCTTTAATCATCTATAAAATTATAGGAAATTATTTTATTACACTGTAACATAAAAGTTTTCATAATTTATTTAAAATATTATTATTATTTACCCCATAATGCGGCACAGAGAATTTCCGAATTGAAACGTTTCTTATACTTTCGAATTTCCGGTGTTTCTGGTGTAATTTCGTGTGGAGTCGGTGTAATACTGATATTAAGATGAGATTCACGTCTTGGAGATGGAGAATGGGCCAATCCACCTGCACCGAAGCCGAATGTTAAAAAGGAACGTTGCTTGTGATGTAACTGAGAAGGAACCTTGTTTATATCCTAAAATTAAGATATTTTAAATAAGAATATCTTAAATATCATAAACTAATTACAACTAAATTTTTACCTCTTCAGATGTATTTTTATCTTGAGACTTGGACTGAACAAATGGTTTGTGAGGTCCCACGGCACAAGCATACGTAGGAAGTAAATCGGGCATCTGATTACCAGAATTTGGTCCCAACATACCAATATTGCTTGGCGAGCTTTGTGAATTTTCCATTCTCAATCCAGGATATCTAGCTCCACCTTCATTAGACTGATGATTATCCATTCTATTTTTCTCTCTCTCATTCTATTAACAGCAACAGCAGCAACAAAAAAAACCTTTAATATTTTAAATTGATTCTTATCACTTATACAGTACCAGACCAAACATTCAGAAATCTTGGGACTAGAAGTGGTTCATATTTCTGGATTATTCAATTTTTTGGACATGGGCAAAATATATACTTAAATTAAAAACAACAGAACATAAAAATTGGAACTGTTTTTAACACCATATATTAGCAGTCACACTGGAACTGACATACAATGTGAAGCAAATGCCATGGAAACCAAAACAAAGTTGCAGTGCAGTGAATTACCGCTGTACCACAGCCCACCAAATTCAAAACTACAGTAGCCAGTTTTCTGGTAATTCCCAATTTCTGGAAGCCAGATATTTGGTCCCATACTGTATTAACAAAATATTTTTTTAATTGATAGTCATATATCTATACAAGAATCTCAATATAATTTGAAGAATCAGATTTTAGATATTAATTATTAATTCATTAAAATCAATCTATATATATGTATATGGATATTTTGATTAAACATATGAACTACATTTTGGCCTTTTATTTTCTTGTGTTAATCCACAATAATAAAGTAACAACAAAGTTATAATTAGTCAATATTACTGTACTAATTTATATTTGGAATTCTTGAGATTCTTATTTAAAAACACAAGTTTTTTCCCCACAAAATACACATAACAGACTCATTTCATTACACACACAAATAGTATCTTGTGTGTGCCATTCACAAATATTCTGAAGTAGACAATACCAGTCTGATGTATGGAATAAAATTATTGATAAATTATTAAAATATTTATAAGTTTATAAAATATTGGATAGTTAATAGTTATTCATTTAAAATAAATAAAGTTATAAATGTAATAATAATTACATATTTTTTATAATAAATATTTATCTACAGGATGTCCACAGATATCTTCCATAAATGATTATGAGTAAAATTTTGTAGTGGTGGATATTACACACTGGTTATTGGTGGCACAAGAAAAAATAGGCTCATGGAATTGTTATTTTTTATATCATGGTGTAGACCTCATTGTGGTGCACAACATCATTGGCAGAAGCAAGTGTGAAGCAAAATGACACTAGTCCTTCAACAACATAATCGATGAATTGTGGAATTTGCAGATATGAACACTGTTGAGAACGCACAGCCTGTTTTCAGATGGAATTTAATGTTAAGGTACAAAGTGACAAGACCAATTGTGAAGTGGTACCGTACAATGAATTTTTGGAAAGGGCGAGTGCATTTTAAATCAAAGGAAAGGACATTTGACCTGACAATGTAAAGTTGTGAAATATGCTTGGGAATCACTTGCTTATAGCCCTAAGTAGTCTGGCACAGAGCTAACTGGGCATTGGAGTTAACTAAATCCACTATGTCTAAGATCTTAAATACTCAAGTCCATGTCAGTGAAAAAGTAAACAAGCTCAATGTCAAGATTTGGGGTAGTGAGAATTCACATATTGTTATGGAGATTGAATTTGACTCTCCAAATTCAATGTTTTTAGTGCCATATAGAAGAAGAAAGTGTATTGATCCTGTTTCTTTTGGAAGAAACAATTACTGGTTTCAGCTATCTGGGCATGCTGACTTAACTGTTTTCACAATTGGATGAGAAGGGTAATGAATTCTTCTTTCAGTGATACAAAGTTCCATTACATTGACATCTCTACATTCATAATATCCAAATGCATGAGTGTCAAACAGATGGATTGGACCACAGTGGAGCTGATGACAATGTATTCTGCTGTCATCACCAAATTACCTCATTTCACTGTCTGTCACTTCTTTGTATTCCCACGCCATTGCCTGAAAATCACAACAGTTGCAGTAATGTATCACTACTTCCACCAGGTCATGTCCACCCCAGTGGATATGTTTGAGCATCATGTAGCACAAATAATATCACCTTGCTATTTTTTATGTGACACATGGGCTGTACATTGAGTATCTTTGAGGTAAGGAACAAAATGTAAAGGGTTTCACTTTCTAGTGATGCCAATATTGTATGTAATAACTATAGATGGCAACTTTATGTTTGTTTAAAATCAAAGAAAATATTTGTGGACACTCTGTATATTGTACATAAAAACAAATTATTTTTATTTATATAAAGATTAGTTTATGGCGTGCAACGTTCAATGACACTTTATGTTGATTTTCCACAAAACAAAAATTGTTCGTCTTGACCTCTTTCAAATGACAGACACCTGCAGAGTTGCGGACAAGGATAATTCCATTTTTTGCTAATGCTATAAAACTTGACCCATGATCATTCGTGTCAAGAAATTAAAAAAAAGGTTACAAAATTTTTCAATTAAAATATATTATAAATATCAAATTANGGATAAGAATAAGAATGTCTATTTACATGCATTGGCAAATAACATCCTGAGTACTAAAAAATTTATAAAATAATATTCTAAAAGATGTCAAAGTATTAATATCATGGTTTGAGTTCAAATAAATGCTGCATTGGTAACTGATGAGCAAATAAAATCATAAGCAGAAAAACTTGTTGTTCAGATATTAAGATTTTTTTGCAACAACAGATGGCTTGATCATTTTAAAAACAAAGAAGTTTTGTTGTTGTAATTTAAAATTTTAATGTATTGAGCCAAATAAGTTTTTATGTAAATATGAGTTACCTGTAGTCATTAAATGATATTCACTATATCTATTGTTAGATATTGATATTCACTATATCTATATCTATCTATCAATATAGCAAGTATTATTTATTGACTGTAGTATAAGGCATGATGGTAACCTTTTTGAATTCGCATATCATGCAGTAAGCATACTTATGTTTAAGAATGCTTATGCATGTTTTAGACTTCAAATTATGATATGAAAATAAATAAAATTAATATGCTTTAATTGGAGTAAATGCAATGACAATGAGTGAAAATACATTATGTGCCAGATGATGTCTCTCAATGTGTCACTTTGGGCACATATGCCATAGGTTTGCCACTCCTGGTATATTGTAGTTTAATAATATGAATATAGCTAGCAACACATAAGAAACATAACCATTTGGTCTTTTCATCCTAATTATAAGCAAATTTGATTGAACTTACCTTTCTTGCAAGTAAAGTTCTGTCATTATCATCATCATCGGGAGTTGGTGGTAGTGGTCGATCCGGTGCTTGACTTATAGCGGCTTCCACTTTAATTACAAAAAATTTCCGAATTGAAACGTTTCTTATACTTTCGAATTTCCGGTGTTTCTGGTGTAATTTCGTGTGGAGTCGGTGTAATACTGATATTAAGATGAGATTCACGTCTTGGAGATGGAGAATGGGCCAATCCACCTGCACCGAAGCCGAATGTTAAAAAGGAACGTTGCTTGTGATGTAACTGAGAAGGAACCTTGTTTATATCCTAAAATTAAGATATTTTAAATAAGAATATCTTAAATATCATAAACTAATTACAACTAAATTTTTACCTCTTCAGATGTATTTTTATCTTGAGACTTGGACTGAACAAATGGTTTGTGAGGTCCCACGGCACAAGCATACGTAGGAAGTAAATCGGGCATCTGATTACCAGAATTTGGTCCCAACATACCAATATTGCTTGGCGAGCTTTGTGAATTTTCCATTCTCAATCCAGGATATCTAGCTCCACCTTCATTAGACTGATGATTATCCATNCTGTAATTTTTAAATAATTAAAATATTATCCTGCACTGTTATGTGTTTAATAAACTTACTAAAATTCTAGAGCAAAATACTATCCGTGAGAACTAAGAAAGGTTTACCCATATAAATTTATTTTTACATGTAACATTTTTTCCAAAATACTTCAAGTTGAGAACTCAAAAAGAAAAATCTCCATTGGCTCAATGTTCGTTCTTATATAAAATTCTAACTAAAAGATTCGAAGAACATTAGTTCCCACAAACTTCTTGAACATTATATATTTAAAAATTTAATTTGCTCTATAAAATGAAATGATTTATTTGCTATCTTAAAAAAACAGAAAAAAAACATTAAATTTATATATTTAAAAATTTCATATTTTTATCCAAGATAGCAAGTAAATCACCTTACACCAAATACATAAATTATGAAATACATAGTGTTTTTTAAAATTAGATCAAAATTATGAAAAATAATAATAATAATAATAATAATTTTACCATCAATCACGAAAAATGATTTGTCAAATTGTATCAGGCTATATTGTGCTACATTTAATAATTAGATAGAATAATTTTGCCTCACCGTTAACCTGTTCCATGGTATTCCCGAAATATTTTGGGTTGAAACATAATGATCTTGATTAGTTGACCCGAGATATATAATTTCAGTATCGGGATGTTTTTGACACTAGATGTCGCTAGTTGGCATAATTTTTATATTAAAAGTGCTAAAGATACTAGTAGGTGCTTGATGTACTGTACACAATGACATAAAAATCAAGTGCTAAAGTTAAAAACCACTTGCAATGGATTTATTATGGTTAAAAGCCACCACAAGTTCTGAATATTAACCAATAACAAGGTTAAATTGTAACGAAAACTTTCTTTTTCGTTACAATTTAAGTATCTTCAATTATATACGTAGGTAACAAAATTATTCACCACATACAGAAATGTAACTTGATTACTTTTCAACAATGTTTAAACATTCATGAAAATCTGTTGTGGTGCTCGAGATTTCAAACAACTCATTTACTAAAAATAATTACTTTGTCAGGAACTTTTATTAATAAATCAGTCTTTTTTATGAGAATCAAGAATGTTGCAGAGTTATTTATTTTTACAAGAACTATTACAGTAACATTTTGCATTTTATGTTCTTTGAGTGAAATTTGCATTTTTTATCGATGCTCAAATAAAAATGTAGTTTGACCTTTACCACTTTTAAGCAAAACAAAAAAAAACCAAATGTGTATTTTTCTCCATACATTTTATTTCTTTGAAATTTTTTTAAGTATGAAAATTAAATTTCTAAGAAAATTGTAGAACTAATGTTGTTCGGCATTAAAAATTGTAAATAAAAGTGTTTCAAGGCTAGAATACATATTTTAAAGTTACAAACCACTGTGCGTCGTATCACTCTCTATCATGGTTGCATCAGCTAATGTTCAAAACATGTTATGGCTTTTCTTAATCTCCGCTTAGTGGTGGTCAAATATAATGAAAGCCATGACGTGAATTTCAATTTGTGTTCTTTTTGAGTTAGTCACAATGCATTGTGGCACTTGTAAAACAGCCACAACACATTTTTGAAATCATCCACATTGCAAATGAATTTTGCAATGTGGATGATTTAAAGTGACCACAACATGTATATGTTTTTTTGCTCAAGGAGTGTTTTTGTTTTTTTTAGCCTAACATACATAACAGATGAGAAAGTAAAATGCTACAACATACAAATCTGGGCTCAGCAATAGATTATTTAAAAAAACTATCAAGGATATTGAAAAATTCAAATTTTATCCTAACACTATTTTCTAAAAGTTTTAAGTTTTATATTATAAGTATAATATAAATTACTTTTTCTATTTAATTAAAAACTAAAAACTTCATTAATTTAATTAATCATCTTACAAAGGTCTGGGTGGATCAGAAGCTAAAAGTGTTCCATCATTCTGAACTTGTCCGTCTTCATCATCGGAATCTGTGTCTGATGCTACAGGCGGTTCTTCTATATAACTATATTCAGGAGAATTTCCGTTAAGACCAGAAGATTCGCCAGTCACAGATCTTCCGACTTGATTATTTCCTTCTACGGACAAATCGTTGAACTGATTTGCTAAGCCTTCTATTTCCTACAAAATATATAATAAGTTAAGTTAAGTGAAAATAGCAAGCCAAGAGTCAAGAGTTTATTAACTCACATCTGGTCTGCATGGTGATTTCGGTAAGTGAAATGCTTGGGAGGGTTGTGGTTGATGATTTCTCGGAGGAGCCGCTGGCTTTCTTTCCTTTTCTTTTCTATTTTCGGCAATGGGAATGGGAGGTAATGGTTTGCTTGGAGGGGCCGGACCAGGAACAACTTAAAGAATAAAACATTTTATTAATCCTTCCAGAATTATTGATACACTTGTATATTTCAATCTCTAACCAATAGATATTTATATGTATAGATGTAATTAATATTGATAGTAAATTAGTATGAATCTGCATTAAAATATATCAATTTATTTTATTTTATTACATCAAATAAAAAAGTTAAAATGCAATAACAACTGAGGTTTTGTTTTTAAAAAGGAAATAAAAGTTTAGCAAATTCAAGTTAGCTGAGTATTTTCTCCAACAATATGGAGAATGAGAAGATGGCTATACAATACAGTAATTTATTACAATTGGTTCTTTGTAGAAGTTTTACCAAGTTTTACTAGGTTATACTGTTAAATTTATTATTACAGGAAAATATCTCAAAAAACTTTAAATATGGTGCAGTATATAGCAATGTACAGTCTTTAGTAACTTATCTATCACAGAAATATAATTCATGGTATCATGAAGACTTCTGGATATCAGAAACACTTAATAATAATTACCAACTGCCAGATTATATTGGGCTAGAATATGGAATATATGGCAGTTTGTTTGTCATTTATAAAATAATCAGGTTACTGGTTCTTTATATTTGTTAATAATAATTTTTCTATTGTCAAGGAATTTTAAATTATGTACAATTTGTTGAAAAAAAATCTGTCCAGGTTAGTGTGAGTTTACTGTATTTGATAATCTTAGTATTTTTCATATAATGAATGTTAATCAAAGATAAAAAAAAATAAATATTCCATAAATGTACAGTAATTTTAAAAACAAAGTTAAAGCTTATTTTCATCTATGATTACTTAATATTTAATTTTTACAAATTTAAAAAATTGTTTCAAAAATAATTTTGCTCTAAAGAGGAAATTTTTATCTATAGTTATATTTATATTTGGTGTGTTAAATTTGAAAATTAATTTAACATTATATATATAGAAATTTAACAATATAGAAATATATATATATATATAGAAATTTAACAATATATATAGAAAAGCAAGTAGAAAGTTATTGAAAAAATGCNTAATGCTCTCATGGGATGCATGTCACAAAGAGCTGTAGAAAGTTATTGAAAAAATGCATAAATTTGGATTTAACAAGACTGTTGTTTGTTAGAATATGAAAATATTTTAAAATACCTATTAATCTTTGAGGTGGTACGGGTGGACGTTGAGCAGGAGTCGGATTAATGGCAGATTGTTGTGAAGATTGAATTTCTTTGACAAGTCTCAATGCTTCGTGAGAATTACTAGGAGTTAAAGTATTATAATCTTGCTGATATCCTCTTCTCAATGTGGAGTCATCTTCATCCATTGTTTCAATATTTCTGTTAATGAAAAAGTAGCAATTGGAAACTAATAAAAAAAAATTAATAAATAATATTCTATAAAATTTTATCATAAAATTTCAAATTTTAACTCATATCATCATCATTTTAATATTGACAAATTTCATTTTATCTTCATTAATAATTTAATTAACAATTTCATTCATATGAAATAAAATTTAAAAATTTTTTATGAATATGAGACAAAGAGAATAATCATAGATATTAAAGTACATTTTAACTTTAATTTTGAGATTATCCATATGATATTAATGCTAATTTCTAAAAAATATACATACAACATTACTTATTGTACAGTATATGTTTATGATTGTTCTTTATCTCTGGTGTTTACAGTTTTTAATACATGAAATATTTGAGCCAAAGAAATCAAATTTCAGTGCATTTTAACACATTATATTGGAAAAAAGTGCACTTGTACCTTCATTAAACAAATTAGTTTATATTCAAATGCTTTAAAAATTGAAATACTCACTCAAAACATTTATCAAAAACTTTTAATTTACAAAAATCTTAAACTAAACTGGCAGATATAAGGTGCAATTACACAGTTAATATATACATCACTTAATTGGTATTGAATCTGGATTGTATCTGTTTTCATTACAGTTAAATATTTTGGTTAAAAATATAAAGTAAAAGTTTTAATTAAAAAGCACTTTTAAAAATTTTTAAATAAATTAGAATCACACTATAATGGAACCAGATGCACCACAACTATCATTATTCTGAGTAAAAACAGGAATCATTTTTATCTCAACTAACTATAAACATAAAAGTATATATCATAAAGTCTTTGCAAATCCGCATTTAAAATGTAAATTTTAATATTGGCGGTAGACTATCACACAGCTTTAGCCAAAAATTGGAACTATATACAAAATAAATTGTAAATGTAATAAATCGGAAACTTATATCGGCGAAACAGGCCGTAAATTGGAAAAACGCATTAAGGAACATGAGGCCGCCATTCGATTAAAAAATAGTAACTCTCCATGGTATAACCATGTAATACAAAATAATAATTGTAAGTTAGATATTAATAGTGTACAGATATTACATAATGAAAGAGATATATACAAGAGAAAATTTAAAGAACACGTTGAAATTATAAAATATAATAGAAAAAACAATAATCAATTAATAAATGTATCTAGTGGTATGCAAATTGATCAAAAATGGTATTCCGTAATAAAAGAAATTAATGAATGACGTCATGAAATAGAAGGAACGGATCACTTAGAATTACTCCAACAATGTATTTGTGAACTATTACTATCAAAGTGGTTTATAGTGTGCAACGGTCTGTTGGATAGTTACCAGTTGTGTGTTTTTATTGTGTACAATTAATGAAAAAGACAGTTCAAGGACTATCATAACATAGAAAAATACACACAGTAAGTTTTTTAGAATTATTTTTTATAACGTTAATCATGTTCTACAACTGTACCTTTTTTAGAACTTATTTTAAAAAATTTTTTGAGATTTTTGTAGATTTTTAAAAGTTTTATTGAGTATAATTGTTAGATCTAATATAGTGTAAAATTTGTTACAGCAAGACATAAATAAAAATAATTTAGTGCACTCAAGATGAAAGTGCTGAAGGGATGTATAAATAAAACTGTGTACTCAAATGGTATTGTAATACTAAAATATTTATTGTTATGTTAAATATTTACTTGCAGAAAAAGTTTATGTAAACTTTTGTATTTTATAGTACTGAAGAGGGACCTTTTTTAGAAAAGGACCGAAATGCATCTATAGTAATAGAATAAAGTGAAATCATTGGCTAAAGCTGTGTGATAGTCTACCGCCAATATTAAAATTTACATTTTAAATGCGGATTTGCAAAGACTTTACGATATATATATAACAGCAGTCATAAGAAATTTAATTAACATAAAAGTAATTTAAAAAGTATTTATTAAAATATATATATAACTATTGTCAAAATATATGCAGATTACAACAAACTTTTCATCTCAGGAATTACTGTGGCACTTCCAGCTTACCGGAGTGCAACATTAAACTCATATGATTGGCAGAATATAGATCTTGTGTCATAGATGAAATGCTGATTCTGACTGACTATTCTAGACTCATACAGGAATCATTCAAAAAGTCATTTGTAAACTATTAACTGAATTGGCTTGCTTCAAAGTTATGATAATTGATCATGTGTGTTGACAACTTATGATGATCATTCTCACACTGGTAACCTTAACAGATTTGCACATCAATAAGCCAAATCAAAATAATAAATCAACTGTTATAACAGTTTACCTTAATTCATGCTGCATCAGCAAATCTTCATCATCTCCTTCACTTCCGCTATATCGATATTCCTCTTGTATCTCCCCTAAAAACAAGAAAAACATTTAACCAAAGGAATATTATTGTTATCAAATTTAATAAATTCTGGGAAGGTCAAAATTTCAACAATCACATTCCCTACATTATAGTCTATAATAGCTGGGAAAAGGAAAGAAATCTGAGATAAAATCTAAAATATTTTTAAATTTGAAATATCAAATATAAAATATAGTAAGATCACAATTTATGAAATGTTATTTCATGAGATTTTTGAAATCACATGAGCATTTATTTATTGTGACATATCACAATGCTGAGCTGCATTTTTTTCTGACAATGCATGTAAGTTTAGTAGTGTCTTGGCTCTGTATTTCATACTTTTCCTGTTAACAATAGAGTTGTGCCAGTCACCTATCTAATTCTGTTCTGGAGAAAATTTTTAAATTGAAATAATGCCATTTCCAGTCCAAACCAGAAATTCTTATATAGTTAATTGGAGCTCCCTGCCCCTAAACTTTCCTTATCTGGTCTCGACTTTCATCTGTCCATTCTCAAGATTACGGAAGAAAAAACAGACAGGCAGGAAGGAACGTCAGTGGGAATTTATAGGTCTGCAATTTTTAAAAATTGCTGCCCAAAAATCATTTAATAAATGCCTTGATGATAAATAAATCTTTTCATAAACAAAAGTTGAAATTAGATCACTATGGATCATATTTACTAATGCTTGCATATATAAAATAGTATTTAAAATAGTATACAATAAAATTTATATTTTATTGTATGTTTTACAATTAACTTTATGTATATTAATTATAAAAATCTTTTCATAATTTTTTTATCCACATAAAATAAATAACTACTTTACACACATTCATAGAACCGATTCACCCATATTAATATATTTTTACCAGATAAATGGACTCGAATTGCATGAATCTGGTTTTGCATGCATTCAAAGAATGCAATTCCAGATAAATTGCAAGTACAGTACATTGCATATTATGCAATGAGACAAACTTATAAAGTTAAACTAAACTTATACTAAAAATCTTAAAAGTTAACAAAATCTAACATAATTAATAATGTTAACTTCGGTCGAACTCTGTAAACATACCTTGTTTGTGTTTGCGACATCTGTCGATGTGGTCTTTTAACTGTATGCGCACTTGTCTTTCTGTCGGCTGGTCTCGAATAAACGGATGCTTTAATAATTGATCCGTGTACGGACGTTGCTGATAATCTTTGACTAGTACCGTTTCGATAAAGCTATGAAATTTTTTGGACCATTTTCTCGACTTTAGTCTCGGCGGAAGATTTCTTGGAATGAGAAATAATGCTCTCATGGGATGCATGTCACAAAGAGCTGAAATATCAACATGTTTATTAGGAAAATTATTTCTCTAAAAAAATAAAAAACCTAATTCTTAATTTATAGAAATGAATATTTAAAGAATAACTGTGTTAAACTATTTTTCAAAATATATTTTTCTGTGATAAATTATACTCACGTGGTTGTGATTCTGCCATTTCCAAAGCTGTGATCCCTAGAGACCAAAGGTCACTCTAAAATATAAAATCGTTACATACTTTAATTTTTAGTACTTAACAAACATCTCAATTTTATAGTTTAGTGCATAAAATGTAGTTAAAAATGCAATGTAATTAAACCTATTTTATTCTTAATATATTTGCATCTGCAGACAAAAATTTTGGTGTATTTCTCCTTTATTCAAGTTAAATTCAATTGCCTTATTGAAATACGGGATGATCACAATTAGTGTTCCTGTTCAATGCTATCTGGAAGGAGATTTAGCAGTCCAAATGTAACAAAATTTTGTATGCTGAGGTTTCAGAACACAGAAGAAATTTCCTTAGGGAGAAATTGTTTTAAAACTCATCACTATGATACTTATGATGATGCAAGTAGCCAAAAAAAAACACACATTACATGCATAATGCACATGTACAGTACTTTGGGCAATTGCTGGGTGTAAAACTGCTCACAGCTTTCAGAATTCCATTCATATTATGATAGTAATTATCTTGCATGAACGCACTTTTTCTTTTGAAGCTGTTTTATTACAGTGGTAATGCCACAAGTATATTTTAAGACTTCCAATGCCTTAAGGCTTACCAAACACTTAAATCTTTTTGTCCACAGAGTTTTGTCTTAAGAGAAAGGTTATTGTATTGTAAGGAAAAACACGCACTCTCAGACATGGTAGGGGCAAGACAAAATAGTCCGCAAGCTTGACAGTCATTGTCTTTTCTGTCTAGAAACTGTCATGCACCTGAACAAACACCTTGATGCAAACTGTCTTCTGCCAACAACATCCACTCCAGTTCTTCAGAGCAGTGATGCCAGCCATAGCAGAATCTTATCATTTATACAACACAGTGGCAATGTTCAAAAATTGTATAAAATATAGCAAGTTTTGATATTTCTTCTGATATTTATTATTCAAATTCAAATACAGTAAAACTTGTGTATGGCGACCACCCATGATCCCTTCAAAAATGGTCATTTAGACAGGTGGTTGTCCAATACAGGTGGTGCTGTAATACCATATTTCTGTACATATTTTGCACACTTTTTAGTCATTTCTACTAAGCAAAACTCAAGATGAGCAAAAATAAGTCAAGTTTTTCAATGATAGGGCTATATTGGTATTGTATTTTATTCTTATCGGATAACTCAATTTACAGGAGTCATCGTGATTTTATAAGACAGATTTAATACCAATATTTTAAAGATTAATACAATAGTCGCATTTTCTCGATTATAATGCACACTTTCTTTTTTCCAACTTAATTCAACTTGGTTCTTTTCGGTTGCTCCTCAGTTACGTGTATTATGTCACCGATATACAAGCGCGTCATATCTCTACATCACTTTGGTTTTGGTATTCGTTAGTTTAATCTTATTTTAACTTTAAAAATACTGTATTTTTTAATATTTTCTTAAGTACAATAAAAAAATTTATTAATTAATAAAACGATTTTATTATTTTTTCTCATTATACAATTTCATTACATTCCACAATGACAATTGTGGAATTGAAAAAGGAAGGTTGCCTGTAAAACTGATTTTTGCATTAATGCGTTTATTGTTTTTTGAATATTTTGTGTGCAAAAATTACTTGGATATTATTTTTCTAAAAATATCGTGGAAATAAGGTAGGTTGATACAGAAACTATTTATCACACATGTATATGAGCTTCAAAATAAATAAATAAATAAATAAAAATAACAAACTAACAACAAACTTACAAATAGTACACTAACAACAAACTTACAAATTTTGGAACAAGCTAATAAAATTAATTTGAATATTAAATTTACTCAAGAGCATGAATTAAATAATCAATTAAGTTATTTAGATATAACAATTAAAAGATTTGAAGATCATTTGGAATACTGTAAATTTGAAAAACCGTGTAATACGAGAAAAGTAATTAATTATAGATCATACTGTCCTTTAAATCAAAAATATAATGTATACCTGATGGAAATAACAAAGATTTTTTCTAGAACAACAAATATAGATAAAAGAAAAGAAGAAATTGAAGATACACATAAGAAATACATCTTAAATGGATATCCAAAAAGATTACTAAATGATTGGTTCCACAGATTTTTAAGAAACAGGTTTAAAGTTAAACGTTGTCAAGAAATAATAAAGTATGTATCATTTCCGTATATAAAAGGTATTTATGAAAAATATAATAACTTCTTTAATCATAAATTAATTAGATTGGCTCCATCCTTAAATAACAGGTTATCAAATATGATGATCATCAGAAATAATGCTAAAGATATATTAGAAGAAGAAGGTGTTGTTTATCGGATAGAATGCACGTGTAACAATCCTAGTTTTTACGTCGGTGAAACAAAACGAAGATTAAGGATCAGACTGTCGGAACATTTGGCTGCCGTAAGGTTGAAAATGAGTAATTCTCCTGTCTTCCAACATTGTAATAGTAATAATTGTCAGATTAATATTAATAAATTAAAAATAATTTTTAAGGAAAAAAATATTGTAAAGCGAAAGGTAAAAGAACACTTCGCTATAATTATGCAAAACAATAATGTTAATTTAAATACCGGAATGTTAACAGCGGCATGCTGGGAGTTTTTTGTTAACTGTATAAGTGGCTCTTCAATGAGTTGACTGTTTGAACGTAGATTTTGTGCTGTAAGCCCCACTGAAGAGGCCATAGGCGAAATGCATTTGGGAAGCTTGTTAGTAATGATGTAAATAAAAATTTTTTTCTCTCTGCAGATTATTTTCTTTTTTATACCTTTTTAAACTCTGTTTTTTAAAGATTTTATAGTCATTATTGGCTTGTTTTTTTGAAAAATTGAAGTTTTATATTATCCAAAAGTCAGAAAGGAAAGAAAAATATAATTTTTTCGTAATTTTACATTTTATGTAAGAAAACAAAAGAAGAAATTTTCTGACTCCATTGAATTTTTATAACTTTTTTGAAATAAAAATAAATTTTATCAAACGATGAGATCAGCTGATTAATTGTATCATGCACAATATTTTATACCTCCAAGGAAAATACTGTAAGTCTACGGTAAAATAAATTTTGTTTTCCCACAATTAAACTTCACCACTAATTGCTGTTGTGATAACTTTAACACAATCTTTTAACGACAGTACTTTGCATTTCTTTCGTTTTTCGGACAATTTCGAACAAACTGAAATGAATTTCCTTTGTTGCTAGACTAATTCATTAACACCTGCACCTAATTTCAAGGGTGGGAGAAGTGCCCAAAGTGGGTTTGAACAAGAGTTTAGACTAATTCATTATATTAGGAGGGGGGAAACGTTATTGAGATGGGTTCGATTTTCTTATAACTTTAATAAAAATAACTAAAATCTCAATTTTTTTTGATTCATTAACACAAAGTGTGTTTCTACTTCAACACTTGGCAAGTAGGAGCGAGTAGAGTACCGCTTGTAAAACCTGTTTTACCTAAACACATTGTTGTAAAAAAACATCCAAAAATTTTAAGGTATGTAATAATAAATGAAAAACTTATATTTTTATATAATATGTAAAATAAAACGCAAATTTATAAAATCTGTAGGAACACTAAGATAAAAACCTGATATATAATAGTACAACAGTCCTAAGAATGTATATGTTTTCTGTGCTGAAAAAATGCTTATGGTATGTCACGAGAATAGAATTATTGATTTAATATTAAAATAATTTCTATGTTAAGCTATAATAGAAAAATTAATTTATGTATAATATTTTGATATTTAGTTGACTGAGGAGGGGCAGTGCCCAAAATGTGTTATTGTACTCATAACCGTATCAACTGAATAAAGATGAAATAGAAGCACACTTTGTGTTAGTGAATCAAAGAAATAAGACAACATGGTTTCAGAAGATTTAAAATCTCAAATTTAAATAAGTACTAATCATAATGAATTTATATGTTAAAATTATAAAAAAGTTTTTTCTTTTAAATCATATTTTTAACGAATTAAATTTCTTAATACTTACTCTATTATCATAAGTAGCATCTGGATTCTCATCGCATGCAATCACTTCTGGAGCCATCCTAAAAATATATATACATAATATAATATAATATAATAATGCTATTTTTTTATTCTTGTATATTTTTTTATTCTGGGAAGACTTTTTATTTTAGAAATCTGTTAACATTAAATTGAACATGATAATTTTGCATATCAAAAGAACAGCCGGATTACTTTATCAAGCAACTAAGAAATTTGGCAGGAAGCAGACCACCAGGCCACCATCTCTTGATAAATATAATAAATAAATAAATAATTGGTTAATTAAAGACATGGCCTAGCAGCATGCCTCCAGCCAAATTGCTTAGTAATTATTCAGACTTAGTAGCCTGATAAAGTAATCCAGCAGTTTGTTCAATATTTGAAATAAATACAGGATTGGTTGGATTTGTTAAATAACTTTAGAAGAATAAAATGAAACACTGACAAATCATGAACTAAAAGTTTCATAGTGACAATTTTGGTACTAATTTACATTCAAGAAAATGACTTCCGTACATCCAAAATGTCACTGTGCAAGAATTGGTTGCACTTCGATTGCTAAATCTCTCTCTAGATGACACTGAATGGATGTACTGTAATTATGATCACTCAATATTTGAAGAGAAAGCTTAAAAGTTTAACATAATGTTTATGGAGTACTAAATTAAGACTTCAATTCATTAAAAGTTTGTTTACTTGCTTACCAAGACATCAAATATAAAACCAAATTGAAATATAACAAAAATTTGTTAAATTTACAAAAATTTTTGACATGCAAAATTTCTGTATATAACACAAATGTCGTCTTTAAAAAAATTAAATTAAATTTATAGGAAGACAAAATGTAAAAATTTGATAAATAGTTAATTATTTAGACATATTTTTATGTCAGAATTCAACATCTTATAATAAAAATACTTACCAATAAGGTGTACCGATGAATGTATTTCGACGACCTACCGTACGGTCTAATTGGGCACTTACTCCAAAATCCACTATAAAAAATAATTTCTGGTTATTCATGAATTTTATTTGAAATAGTTAGGAAAACGTATCAAAATTAAATTACCTAATTTGACTTCGGCATTATCTGTCAATAAGACGTTTTGGCCTTTAATATCCCTATGAATTATTTTATTGGCATGAAGATGACTCAGTCCCTAAAAAACAATTATTTAATTATTTAAAGTCAGAATTTTCTTGTAAGAATATTCAATTATATATAAAAATGCTCATTAAATGTCTTTGAATTAGTTTAATTTTTAATCTAAATACCAGTTATTCTAAACTGAGTGTTGAACATTTAATAGTAGACTATTATATCCAGTTATATAACAACACACAAATAACTGGAAAAACATTTATCAGCACCCCTTAAAATATGCTGGATACACACTTGATAGAATGGAATAATTTGCATTATTTAAGTCACCAGCTGTTTGGTATGAATAAGTTTTATAACGAATGGAAGTTTCAGTTGAGAAATGACATCAGATCGCATCTATTAAGCTAATAATTAATTGCATAGAATCATTGGATGTGTTGCCTGGTAAGATGGCTTTAACATGGCGAGACAAGCAAGCCATTGATATGATCTGCTTCAAATGAAATAGGGTATGTCATTAGCTTGTTTATCTAACCATATTAAAGCTGCTTTACCAGGCAACACACCCATTGATAAATGACATTAATCATCATCACTGCAATTTTATCAGCCACTAATACTTTTATGCATTTTCACAAAATTGATAGAACTTGTGTTGTTTCAGAATCTACTGATTAAAAAAAAAATTGTAATCTAAAAAGGCAGAAAAGCAATAATAATTAGTTATAAAAGTTTTTAAATACACTTAAGTACGGGCATAATTTGTATTATTTATTTACATTCAAATCATTATTAAAGAATTGTTAAACATTTGAATTGCAAAGGGGAAAACAAGGATGTCACATTAATGTTTCCCAATTCTTCCAGTTCTCTTTCTTTTTGTCACATGTCATTATCAAAAAACATTGTTTATAATGTTGTTATAACTTATTTATTACAGTAGACCCCAATCACCTGGTGCAATGCAGACTGATGCTACTGCGAATAACCAAAAAATTCATAAAATAGACACATGTGGCCATTTTGAATTAAAAATTACAGATGTAAAACATTTATGTGGTAACACTTTTAAGCTTCTTTATACATTAACAGATCTCAAGTAATGGCTCAGAAATTAGAATCATCACACTCTTCTGTTGCAGCTTCTGGAAAATACATTTCCAAAGTGGCAATGAGGACAAAGTTATTTACCAAAGCACCAGACCCGATCCATTCTGTTAACAGAGATGAATGTTGTAATAGAAAATAATGTATTACAATATTTGCTGTTCTGAATACCAGAGTTGTGATTAGTATGCATGTTAGTTCATGGTGTGTATCATTTATCGCTAATTACTGGCTTATTTACCAGATAAAAATAAAGTCATGTGACAAAACTTGCACTTTGTTAGGAAACTGAAACTTTATTACTATTAATACTTATTAGAAATTTAACAATTAAAATTCACATTCTAAAATTCCTTCTTAGTTTTATGATATCTGGTTTATTCATTTGGAAATGGCAACTGTGAATTTTGGGAACTTTGTTTCCTTTAGAGGACCACTAAAATCTTTGCACAAGGACATCTAATAGAGTAGTGACAGCCCTGTATAATGTTGTGTCATCCGAGTAATTACATCAAAGAAAGAATACAGTTTTTAATTCTATATTTATGAATAAGTTAATACAAAATGCTCTAGTCAACTTGATAAATAAAAACTCATGCCAAAATTGCTAGATATCAAGTAGAAAAGCAATCTATTTCTACAAAATGATTGCTTTTTTTTAACTGCTTTCTTTTCAAATTATCATTTTGTTTTTATAAATCAATAGTATCTACCAAAGGAAGCAAACTGCAATAATATGTAGAAATGAAATAGATTATTATTACTTAATTCTTTTTAAATTTAGCACAATCATACCCTTAATATCTCTCTGCAAACATAGGCTATCCATTCTTCCTTTAAAACTTGTCCTTTAGTTGCTAAAAAAGAATATATATTGATGTGTATTTATAAATTCTTTATAAATAAAAGATAATTATATTATGGAAAATTTAAAATTATTTTACAATCTAAAATAAATGATTCTTCCAAACATTCCTAAAAATTTCAGAGCAATCACTTTGCAAATGATCTTTCAAATAAATAAAATTAAATCCATTAAAATACATTAGTAATTGAATTTTCTGGTTTACAAATCTTATCTTTGCATTATTATTTTATACAATTTCCACATTATTATTGGTATAAAATTAAACAAAATAAGCAATTACCCACAAACCAGCAATTAATTCGCTTTTAAACAAACATTTTCATCTGTTTTCAACAGTAATCATCAGGTTTCAACATAATGGAATGTTTGTAAAAAAACACAAATTCCAAAATTTAAAAAATTGCACATTGTGAAGATATGCACATGCTCAATGTCGCATTTAAAAATTCATCTTCAAACTGGCTTCCAGTTTTAAAAAATACCAAGTTTATATAAAATATAAAAATCAAACTTGATGAAGATCTATTGTACATCAAACCATACCCTCCACACAACTGTTAATAAGTACCCTGCACACCTTATTAATGCTATTGTTGTACTCAGAGCAACCAGCAGAAACATTACTATTGAGAGATGAGTTCTTTTTATTTGTTATGTACATTACAAAAAGGTTCTTACCAACATCTACAAAGAAATATCCCGCTTTACAAGTAACAGGATCACTTATAGGTTTTCTCTAGTATTAGAAATGATAAGGACTGATTGGACCAAAATGGTATCCTGGGAGTCTATACTATCCCTATTTATGATCATAGGGTAAATCGTCCTGGTGAATACACTGGTGCTACCACACGTGGTATTAAAATGAGGATCAAGGAGCATAAATACACCATTAAAAAAGGTCTTTCAGACAGAATTGGCTTCTTTTGCCATTGATGATGATGTCTCGGTTAACTTTGATGATGCCTGATTACTGCAGCATTGCAAGGACCCTACCAACCTGAAATATCTCAAACAACTGGAGATATTTAAAGTGTTTAGGAGGGAAACAGCAATTAATTTTAAAGAAATGGACTCATTAGCAGCTGCATGGAGGGCGTGCTTTGACGTACAATAGATCTTCGTCAAGTTTGATTTTTATATTTTATATAAACTTGGTATTTTTTAAAACTGGAAGCCAGTTTGAAGACTAATTTTTAAACACAACATTGAGCATGCATGATCATCATGCGCATATCTTCATGACTTGCAATTTTTTTAATTTTGGAATTTGTGTTCTTTTACAAACATTCCATTACATCAAAACCTGACAATGACCATTAAAAACATTTGTTTAAAAGCAAATTAATTGCTGGTTTGTGGATAATTGCTTATTTTGTTTATTATTTTATATAAAATGGTTACATTAATCTTGCTAGAACAGAAAATCTCTCTTCATTCTTGACTTCTATTAATATTTTAGAACAGGATGTCCAAAAAGTTACTGAAAGTGAGAAATTTATATTAAAGTTATACATACAGTACTGCATTTATGCAAGTACAATATGCAATAATGTACAGTATATAAAACTTTAATGTAATTATCAATTTCTCTCCTGCATGGTAACATCTTGTACTACTTCTTTCATCAACTAAAGCAAGGTGTTGAAGCAAATGTAGAAACTTAAACACTTAACTGTCTTAATAGAGTTGATAAAAATGAATGCCTCTTGATATTTTTGAGAACCTAAAATCATCCTTGGAAGTTATCTAAAGAAATCATTTTTAATTTAAAAAACTTTTAAACTATAGAAATTACAATTGATTTTGCATTCCAATGTGACTAAAACAGACTCTCAATTGTAACTGTCACTCAAACTGTTTTGCTTAATCTTGTACCTATGGTATATCCAAGACTAATTTTGTTAGAGGGTGAGGTGGTAGATGAGTAATATAATATAAAAGCTTTTTAATTAATATGTACTCATAGTATATACTTCAAATTCAACATATTTATTACATTTTCTCATAATTTCTGCTTCATTAAATTTACAAACAGAATTATTTAGAATTTAAATATGTGGGAAAGTCAAAAAGTAAAGTTTTTCATTTTTATTTTAGATGTAAACAAATTACACCCTACAATTTATGTTTAAATACTTGCTTATTACTGTCATTCCTGAATAATAGAGTTTAAATTTTAATTTGGTTCACTTAATATTTATTTTAATCACAGTTGCCTCACTTAAAATTTTGATTCTCTCTCCATTTATTCTTTTGAAACGGTCATCTGTAAATGTCACTTTATTTTAATGGATGCAAATTTGTATTGTCTACAATGAGGAGTCTGTAAATGTAGTTTTAGAGTAGAAAAAACTTGAAGCTATTTTATGAAATTTTTAAATATTTAAATATGTAATTTTTTTAAAATTTGCTAAATTACATGCTTAAAATAAATCAATTAACTTTATTTACTGACATGTTTTAACTAAATTATAAAATATGCAGACTAACTGAATATTGTATATATTAAATTTTTATCAAACAAACTTATGATGAGAAAAGTTTTCTAAATATTTCTTAAAATATTTAGAAAACTTTTCTAAATATTTCTTAAAATATTTATAAAACTTTTCTCATCATAAATAAAAGTTTCTGACATTGTGAATCCCACAGTGTCAACACAAAAAGTCAATGTGATTGTAAATTTAACAACATTAAATTTAATAACATAACATATTTTACATCACTCTCAAATTTCATCCATTTCTAATTAGGATAGAATACTGAAACTTTGAAGATAGGTCTAAGTCTGATGACAATGCATTTTAATGTTTTAGGTTGTGACTCATCTCCATTCTACCCGCTCCAAAACCTGATAAACATAACCAAACGTAGAGTTTAATCATGATGCGTGTATAAATGCATGGTAATCTATCTATATACTAATATATAAAGTGAGAATGTTTATCTGTTTGCTAGAGGTAATCTAGGAATCTACTGAACCAATTTTTAAAACTCTCTCTCTCTCTCTCTCTCTATTGGAAAGCTTATTCCTTTCAAATGAGCATAAACTATATACTATTCAAAAACACAACACCTTAATTTGCTGAGAAAAACTTTTAATGAAAAGCTAACGTTTTCAGCCAAATCTGATTGCATGATGCATGCATTAATTCTAGGGATGCTGAAGGGTTGCCTTCCACCTGGAAATACTTAATCAAGTGATTGGACAGATCTTAATGCCTTGTTTTTAGTGTTTTTTTAGCATATCTTGCGTTTCATCGAATTTAGCATAATGTATTATTATGTTACGTTTTTAATGTTTAATTATCCTATGCTTATTTTTCATATACATATTTTATAATAAGAGTTTTTATTTTATTTTANTTTTCGTAATTTTACATTTTATGTAAGAAAACAAAAGAAGAAATTTTCTGACTCCATTGAATTTTTATAACTTTTTTGAAATAAAAATAAATTTTATCAAACGATGAGATCAGCTGATTAATTGTATCATGCACAATATTTTATACCTCCAAGGAAAATACTGTAAGTCTACGGTAAAATAAATTTTGTTTTCCCACAATTAAACTTCACCACTAATTGCTGTTGTGATAACTTTAACACAATCTTTTAACGACAGTACTTTGCATTTCTTTCGTTTTTCGGACAATTTCGAACAAACTGAAATGAATTTCCTTTGTTGCTAGACTAATTCATTAACACCTGCACCTAATTTCAAGGGTGGGAGAAGTGCCCAAAGTGGGTTTGAACAAGAGTTTAGACTAATTCATTATATTAGGAGGGGGGAAACGTTATTGAGATGGGTTCGATTTTCTTATAACTTTAATAAAAATAACTAAAATCTCAATTTTTTTTGATTCATTAACACAAAGTGTGTTTCTACTTCAACACTTGGCAAGTAGGAGCGAGTAGAGTACCGCTTGTAAAACCTGTTTTACCTAAACACATTGTTGTAAAAAAACATCCAAAAATTTTAAGGTATGTAATAATAAATGAAAAACTTATATTTTTATATAATATGTAAAATAAAACGCAAATTTATAAAATCTGTAGGAACACTAAGATAAAAACCTGATATATAATAGTACAACAGTCCTAAGAATGTATATGTTTTCTGTGCTGAAAAAATGCTTATGGTATGTCACGAGAATAGAATTATTGATTTAATATTAAAATAATTTCTATGTTAAGCTATAATAGAAAAATTAATTTATGTATAATATTTTGATATTTAGTTGACTGAGGAGGGGCAGTGCCCAAAATGTGTTATTGTACTCATAACCGTATCAACTGAATAAAGATGAAATAGAAGCACACTTTGTGTTAGTGAATCAAAGAAATAAGACAACATGGTTTCAGAAGATTTAAAATCTCAAATTTAAATAAGTACTAATCATAATGAATTTATATGTGGATATTATACATAATAAAATCTCTAAATATCAAATTTGAAAGACCAAAAAGTGACTAGTTTTGTGGAAAACTCACTAGATCTGGTGGGTTTTCCACTAAACTGGCAGCCTGCTTGTGAAAAAAGAGCATGATGCCTGGTAAAACAACATTAACCAGATGTTTTTCAGGCGTTGTACCAAGAAGATATGAGAACTTAATAGATTGGTTGGCACCTGTAGATTCTGATTAGTTCAAACTAAGAGGGGACAATGCTGAGTTATAAGAAATTTTTTTCAACCTTAGAAGGAGAAAATATATTATATAAGTGTTTGCCAGGACCAACAATCTAGTTCAACTTAAGAAAGGATTTGATATAAGAGGTTTTACTGTATTATCTACATAGTTAACAGTTAAATTATTTACTCATTTAAAAAGTTCAAATATACCAATTCTTTTTTTCATTATGAACTTATTCATAATATTACTAGAATAAATTCATCTAGAAGTAGTTAGATATGCTGCCATTTCATATTAATTTTAATAGTTATAATAAATTAATATTAATTTAGAATTTTCTGAAAAAAAAGAAGT